CTAGCCCTTCTTCAATGTTATCGTCGTCATCTTCAGACTCGACGGCTTGATGATACGGCGTTAAGGTCTACTCGAAGCTATCAGTAACGGAGGAGAAAAAGGTACTTACGTGTCCGTTCTCTTTTGTGGAAATTGTTCTCTTCCTCCAGTCTTTGACGCCTCCGTAATGCTGCGACATTCGCGCGGTTTTGAGCTTCTTTCGCCCTTGCATGTTCCTCGTTGACTGTGGGCAGTTAAGCACGTGTCCATCGTGACGAAGCGCGACTGGCACATACCTATCTGTTGGTACTTGTCCGTCGCCTTTCGTCGACGTCCTCCTGCCTGCCGAGTATCAAGAAGGTGTAGGACCTTCTCCACCTTCGCGGCCTTGCTCGTCTTCCGGGGCATGATGCGGGCGGGAGTGGTAATGTTTAATAGCTTATTGGATGTATGTGTGAGAGTGGAATGGGAGAAACGTGTCAACTCACCGACTTGAGAATGCACTGGTGGAGCGGTGTCGAATGCACTGGTGGAGCGGTGTCGAACGCTCTAGAAATGCGTGCCGCGTGCGTACACATGTGATGTCACAGCTGTGCCATCACACAACCGTGTTGTGCTCGCACGTCTGTCCGATTCGAAGTCTCCTGCTCTCCGCATACCTTCAGGCTTTCTACCCTCACTCGCCGCTGCTCTTGACGTTATGCCAACTTGTACTTTCTGCGGGCGCTTCTTGCCGACTCGTGCTGGGCTCAAGATGCATGTCCGGCGAGTCTGTCAGTCTCAGTGGCGGGCACGGTTACGGAAGTTCTCTGTTTCGGTCTCTGAGGATGTTGACCTCGACACCGAGTCCAATGATTCCGAGTCCCCGGATGCTGTACAAGACCATCCTGAGCTACCCGATGTCGTTGATATCCTTGATCCTGGGCTTGCCGACTTACCTGCTGCCTCGGTGCCTGCTCTGGGTGCCGCGCCATCGACACCGATTCCTGCACCCGCATCAGCAGATCGATCATATCCAATGGATGATGATGCGATACTGAAGACCTACGAGCGCTTTGTCGAGGACTATCCTCATCCTGCTGGGTCTCCTATATCTCGCGGCAAGACACAGTTTGAGCAAGTCCGTGATGAGCAGGACGCTGCTGGGGTCAGTCCTTGGGCGCCATTCGCTGATGAAGATGACTGGCGCTTGAGTGAGTGGCTCATTCGCAACGTTGGGAAGGGTCAGACAGAGGAGTTTCTGAAACTGCGAAAGGTGAGTGTGCCCATTGCTCTTTTACTGTTGCCCTGACTAACATCTCTTTAGATCTCAGAGCACGCTTGTCCCTCCTATAAGAACACGCGGTCATTCCTGCAGAAGATTGATAGTATCCCGACACAGGGCACCAAGTGGCACCGGGATATTGTGACCGTCGGGGGTGACCGTTTCAATGAGGATGGTAAGATCATGCAGGAGGAGCTGGAACTCTGGCGTCGGGACCCTGTGGATTGTATTCGGGAACTGATTGGAAATCCTGCCTTCCGGGATAACCTTGTGTATGTGCCTGAACGTGTCTATCGCGATGATGCCTCTCGTGTCCGGGTGTATGATGAGATGTGGACTGCGGATTGGTGGTGGGACATCCAGGTATAGATAGTCTACTTGTATTGCTGTGTATAGAGGTAGTTGAATGATATGATGTAGGACCGCCTGCCAAAGGGTGCTACTGTTGCACCCGTTATCGTCTCGTCTGATAAGACCAAGCTATCCAACTTCCGTGGTGACAAGTCTGCATGGCCTGTCTACCTTACTATTGGCAACTTGCAGAAGGAAACCCGGCGTCGACCATCCTCGAAGGCCATGGTACTCATTGGCTATCTTCCTGTGAGCAAGCTTGATTGCTTTACAGAGCGTGCTCGATCGGTAGCAGGTTATCGCCTGTTCCATTACTGCATGTCAATATTACTGGCTCCACTCGTTGCTGCAGGTCGAGAAGGGGTTGACATGACTTGTGCAGATGGATTTGTTCGTCGTGTCTTCCCCATCTTAGCTGCCTATGTTGCAGATCATCCTGAACGTTGCTTGGTAGCATGTTGCAAGGAGAACCGCTGTCCTCAGTGCCAAGTTAGATGGGAAGACTCAGGAAGCCTTCTAGAGACCATCTACCGTGATCCTGAACGTACCAAAGTCATCTTGGAGCAGCATGCAACTGGGCGACGAGTACAAGCTTTCAAGTCTGAGGGCCTGCGTTCCGTGGCAAAGCCGTTCTGGACAGAGTTACCCCATACCGACATCTTCACCGCTCTCACTCCCGATATCTTGCATCAATTGCACAAAGGGGTTTTCAAGGACCATCTGGTTGACTGGTGCTTGCATATCTCTGATGAAGATGAAATTGATGATCGTTATCGCTGCATGATTGATCATCCTGGTTTGCGCCACTTTAAAAATGGTATCTCTGCGGTTTCCCAATGGACTGGTACTGAGTTTAAAGAGATGGAGAGGGTCTTTGCAGGACTGCTATCTGGTGCTGTCCATCCTACTGCTGCAAAAGCTGCTCGGGCCACCCTGGATTTTATTTATTATGCTCAATTTCAAACCCACACCTCAGATACATTGGATGCTTTGCAAGCAGCACTCCAGGAATTTCACAATAATAAAGACATCTTCATTGCTCTGGGGGCTAGGGAGCATTTCAATATCCCAAAGCTGCATGCCATGCAGCATTACATTGACTCTATTCGCTCACGTGGGTCAGCTGATGGTTTCAACACTGAACTTCCTGAACGGCTCCATATTGACTATGCCAAGGATGCTTACCGTGCAAGTAACAAGCGCAATTATGTGGAGCAGATGGCAAGGTGGCTAGAGAGACAAGAGTCTGTGGAGCGTTTCAACTCCTATTTGGCCTGGCTCAATGTCTCATCTGATTTGGGTGGTACTAGAGATGATGAAGATTGGGGCTATGATGATGAAGATAGTGATGCAGGTGATGATGAAGAGGAAGATTCTCACTTACAGGTCAGCAAGCAACCAGACATTCCCTCGGAGAGGTGTCTCCTTGCACAACGTCCAGCATTCCCTGCTTCAAAGGTTCAAGATATCATTCTGAATCACCATGCGACAGAGTTCCTTCCTGCTCTGTCCAATTACCTTCAAGAGACTTGTCCACCTGGGATGGCTGGGAAGGTAATGTTACCTAATGAATATGATCGGTTCGATGTATACAAGCAGGTCAAGGTCCGACTTCCCCAAGTCCCAATCCTTGAACTCAAGCCACGGCTGGATAGGATCCGAGCCATCCCTGCTAGTCTGTCCAATCAGAGAAATGGTTTGGGTGTGGGTCACTTCGACACAGTCCTGGTGAAGGTAGAGAATAGGAATGATTATATTTCTGGTACTGGACTCAGAGGTGATTTTTCCATTATCCCCCTATATACTGATGCTAACTGGTACTAGGGCTCCAAGTAGCCCAAGTGCGAGTGATATTTGCACTTCCACCATACTTGCGGAGTCATGCGCAACATTCTCAATACCTTGCCTATATTGAATGGTTCACCCCATTCCGTTCACAAGATCATGACCTTCATCTCTACTCTGTGTCCCGCAGTACAAGGAATGGTCGACCAAATGCTCAAATCATTCCCTTGGATGACATCTTCCGCAGTTGTCATTTAATTCCTAAATTTGGTACTTCAGTGAGTCCGGAGTGGTCATCTGAGAATGTACTAGAGAAGTGTAAGACCTTCTACCTCAATAGCTGGATTGATTTTGTCATGTTTTATCAGATGCGTTGTCTTGATATGGTCTGTTAATGGTCATTTATTCTCTCACTGGATGTACCATTTTATGGAGGGTTATAGAAAAGAGCGGCATCCAATAGTTACCTACACTGTTCCTTACCCTACTTATGTTGCCTACAGAGACCTACAGATTTTAGCCCTTCCTACATTGCCAATGTCATGCAATGTAAATACTCCTGTTTCCATATCAACTTCACGTTTTGCTGATGATGAGGATGGGCTAGTGGTGCAAGACGAGCTTGATGAGGTACATGCTTTTCTCATTCTCCTTGATGTCTGGCAGTTTACATGCAAGCGGTAGATGAACAGTGTGCACGGCACAGTGAAGCCCAAGCCGCGTCTCGTCCGGCGCGCTGGTGAGGTGACACCGAGCGTCGCAGACCTGTACGCCTCGGATGATGGTGACAACGCTGAGAATCACCCAGCGCAGGGCGGGGATGCTAATCCGTGCCCTGCTCATCAGGGTAAGGATACTGCTTTTATGGGGAGGGATCGTGCAAACATTCCATCGCCGGTTGAAAGTCGCGAGGTATGTTTTACTTGTAATTTTATAACTGTCTATTCTGACATGCCTGCAGTTGTCAGGAACCAATCATGCATCAGCGTTGCCAGCTCTTGTGCGACGCGATGGCCGAGTTCCGAAGCAGACACCCAGGATGCTGCTCAACTTAAGGACCACTGGCCCGAGATGGGAGGAATACCGGCCCCAGGTACATGTTAAAGTGTCTCATACGAGTGCTGCTACTGATTTACTGCACTAGCACCTGGCTAATTACGAGTACCAAGCTATGATGCCGCCACCACTTCCTCGTAATCCCCACGAAGCCATCCCCAACCCACGCAACGAGTATCCTCGCCCCCCAACTCCTCGCCCCTCTCGCGCCCGAGGACTTGGTGACGGGGTTGCTGCGGATACTGTGGTACATCAGCCGCTCTTCTATACAGATGGCGAAGATGATGAGCAGCGCGACGGGTCTCTCGATGATCATCGGGAAGTTGATGGTGCTGATGCTGCAGTACTCCCGCGAGGACAAACTCGCGGAGCACCTGCTCAGACGACTTCTGCGACAACACGACTCACAAAGACACGCAAGCTGACTGGCAGCGCCGGCTCTCGTGGCCGTATCGGCCTCTCCCAATTCGGTCCAG